CTGAACCTGGCCGAGAAATCGCTCCAAGTCATCGTGTCCAACGCGGCATCATCCCCCAAAGCATGACCAATCTCCTCCCACCAATCCCTCGCTCTGTCCTTCAGAAGACAGGAGGCGAGTCTAACCTTGTCCCCCTCGGGACACTTGCTCGAACGAAAAGCGTTGGCAACATCAGCCAACCATCTGCTGCTAGCAATGGGGTCCCTAGCCCCATGATAATCTGGTGCCCCACAGGCTCTGAACTCTCGAAATGTCAAGGTACGCGCTCCCACCAATGCCATCATCTCAGTACGGAAGGCTCCCAGCCTCTCCTCCAAGATCTCCAGTATGCCCTCCTTGACCGTGCCAAAGATCACAGGAGTCTGAGCTAGAATACTGCGCGTAACCTCATCTGATATCAACTCTCTCATCCGCTCCTCGAGCTGCTCGGCCCCTGAACCCGAGCCTGATCCCTCTCCGGCGCCTGATCCGCCCGTTGGTCTCTCTCGCAATGTCACCATGCTGAAAATACACCACAACCATTATCAGAACACTCATCACTGATACCAGACCAAACACACCCCTACCAGGTTCCCGGTCTTGTCTCTGCCCTTCCCGAATCGAGTACGGATCCTCTGCTTTCAGTAGTACGGGCCCATACTACCTTCCACATCTATCCGTACTTTCCTCAGGAATTGCTTTGACTCCACCAGGTCCCTCATCCACTAATACTGCTCCCAGCACTATCTCATCCTAGGCTTACCCTAGGGAAACCTCTGACACTACTCAAACCAGTCCTCAGCTGCTGAAGGCTTCCTCGCGATGCCAATTAGCCACCATCTGGATACCATCACATGTGACGAGGCTCAGATAATCCTTCAAGTATAAAACTCGTTCCTACAACGGTTGGACTCAAACAAGAGCTGCGCAATAGGACCAAATTCAACACTCTGAGATTATTCAACCCTGATCACATGTGGCGTGTCGTATCCACCTAATGGCTAACTCCCATCACTCGGAATCCCACAATGCACAAGGCAAGCAACATTCGGTCAAGGGAAAATCTAACTGTAACATACTCGAGCAATCATATCCACATAGCAAGAACCTGAACTAGCATGCAACACAAACTCATAAACTCCGGCATAACCTAAACAGGCTATCCTACTACTGTCTAATCAGCACTATCATGCAGCTCAAAAGCATAAATAACAGGCACATAAGGCATCATCCCTAGATCCTTAGTCCTATTCTAGCATGCTGTTCTACCAACGGATAATCATAACATAAACTTGTATGGGTACTTTGGGGTACTTACTTGAGCTCGGTTGATTGCATGCACCACACCTCTTTTCTCTTTTCAAAGTTCTTTTCTTTCTGGATTCTTTTTGCTTTTCTAAAACTGTTTTTCATTCTCAAAATTCTTTTTATAAAACTGTCTTTTCACATTTTGAAAACTTCTCATCCGACCCCTCAGTTTGAGTTCAGGCACACCCGAGAGTATGCCTGAATCCCTCAAACCAAGGCTCTGATACCAACTTGTAACATCCCAAAAATTAAGACCAAAAATTTCTTTTAATAAAACATTACTTTAAACCAAAACATCATTCCAAAACATGATCTGAGTATAAGTTTTCAAAACACACGTTTATTATCAGAGTAACATTCCCAGGCTGACTACACTATGGTGTGTGCCATGCGATCACCCCGAGCTCCTCCCTCCGCTACCGGAAGTACCTGAAAACAAAACTGAAACCCGTAAGCACAAAGCTTAGTGAGTTCCCCAACTTACCACATACCATACAAAATCACACACTGCCCATACTGGGCCACGCCCGCTACCATGGGCCTCGCCCTCTACTCCGGGCCTCGCCCGCTATAACGGCCCCGCCGCTCCAGGCCCCACCTGGCTTCGAGCCCCGCTCGGATACAGATCTGTTTCACTTAGGCCTCGCCTGTCATCGGGCCTCGCCCACTAACATATAATAGTACATGAACATATCGCATAACATTACATAAGCTAAACATATACTAACAATTCTTGCTCTAAGGCCTCGCCTATCTCGGGGCCCGCCCGAGTCCTGCTACTGATGAGTCATGGAATCTCGTCCATACTCCTGCTGATAGTGAGGTACGGGCCCAGCCCACTCTCACTCCTTTCCTAACTTGGGCCTCGCCCCTACTCTGCTGCTACTGAGATGTGGAACACCATCCACACTCTGCTATTGGTGAGATACGGGTCCTCGCCCTCACTCACCTCCCTACCAAGCACATACAAGTATCACACAGGCAACAAGTATAGACTATCACATAAACCGCTCCTTGGGCACCCGCCCTCTGTCATTGGACCTCGTCCAAATAGCATACTAGCATACTGTGCCTAGGGCTAACCCCCAGGTCTTCTACTCATAACTACATGGGCCGGCATTGTGGCCGTAGACCCATTCATACAAAGGGAAACTCACCTGATACTGCTGAACTGCTGCTGCTAACCCCTTTGACCGCTACCTGACCGCTAACTCCGCACTGCTGCTCCGCTAGCTCCCCGAGCTACCAATAACAACCTCATACTTAGTCTAACTGACCTCCAAAGGTCAACCAAGTCAACTCTGGTCAAAGTCCATGTCCTGGTCAAAGTCAACCTCCCAGGTCAACCCTACTCGCCGAGTCACCCTACTGACTCGCCGAGTTCATAAATCCAGAGTCCTTCCACTCGCGACTCTACTCGCCGAGTCAGCCCCTGACTCGCCGAGTCTACTGATTCCCGATTCCTATCCTGTCCAACTCACTGAGTTCTGGCTCGACTCGCTGACTCGAGTCTTAACTCGAAGGGTTTGGGACCACTCGATCTGACTCGCCGAGTCTAAGAACAAACTCGCCGAGCACACGACAATCTTCATCCAACTCGCCGAGTTGTTCTTCCAACTCGCCGAGTTCATGCCTATCTTCATCCGACTCGACGAGCTGTCCATCCCACTCGTCGAGTTCCTCCTCATCTTCAAGCTACTCGCCGAGTCCACTCGAAGGACTCGTCGAGTCCACTAAGATCCACTTACATGCAGAGGACTTCCGAGTCATGCATGAGCTCCAAACTGTAGATCTACCCTCCCCAAGCCTATTTCCCACGTAAAGTTGCAAACTTTACGTGTAGAGAGGGAGATCTAGGCAAAATACACCCATAGCTAGGGTTTAGGACCAAGAGGCTCCAATTTCCACCCAATGGCTGATACTTTCTGGGATTCCATACCAAAACAAGCATGGATCTGAGGTAGCAACCTCAGATCTGGACCTCAAGCTCAAGATTGGTCTTAAACATGGCTTAAAAGCCCCAAAACTCATAACCAAGGAAAATCTGGAGGAGAGAAACGAATTGATACCTTCCAATGCTCTGAAATGCTTCCCAAACTTCAGATCCAAAGCCACTCCCTGATGCTTCAAAGATTCCCACTCCTTCTTCTTCCTTAAACCCACCCAAAAATGGCTAAAAGCTTGAATGAGCACAATGGGGGCTTAAGGTGCGGCGTTCTGGGTGTGAGAGGCTGCAAAGGAGCCCTAGGAAGAAGATTGAGATGCTTAAATAGGCTCCAAGCCCCGGATTTATGGTTTTCCTCTCACAGACCAGACTCGCCGAGTCCACTTGGCCGACTCGTCGAGTTGGTCACTTTCTTATCGACCCGGATCCCGCTCCGACTCGCCGAGTCCTTCCTTGGACTCGTCGAGTCCCTCTTAAATTTAGGGTTTCCTTTACTTTCTTGGCTTTCAAAATCCTGGGTGTTACACACTCATATAACTCTTCAAACCTTACAAATATAATCAATCATTTTGAATTGACATACATGCAATATATAAATTTCTTATATAGCCTATATATTTTATTTAACTCATTAATTAAATAGTATGATTTGAAGAGTTTTAAGAATTACAAATCATAATATTTCAATTAATCATAAATTAATTTGTATAAGTTAAATAATATTGGAAGTTTCAAATGCATGAGTTTCAAGAAAAAATATTATATATATATATATATATATATATATATATATATATATATATATATGTATATATATTTATATATATATATATATAGGGAAAGGTTATTTGGAAAACAAAAAAAACCCTAAAAATCATAAAAATGCATAAAAAAAATACCTAGAGATCACAAAACTTTTTTTTGACATTTTTAAGAAAAAATCGTAGCTTTTTAAAGAAAATCGCTGAAAAAAAATTTGAAAAAAAAACATTTTTCAAAAAAAATTCAAAAAAAAGTCTTGTGATTTCTAAGTATTTATTTTATGTATTTTTATGATTTTTAGGGTTTTTTGTTTTCCATAGAACCTAAACCTCTCTCTCTCTCTCTCTCTCTCTCTCTATATATATATATATATATATATATATATATATATATATATATATATATATATATATATATATATATATATATATATATATATATATATATATATATATGCCATGATCAACCTACTTATGAATTATGTAGAAACATATAATGAATGCATGTTGGTGGTGTTGCATATACAACATTCTTAGTCGCCTTAATTTAATTGTTGCTGCCAACACGTGAGAGATTACCATGAGACCAATTTATGTTGATTGATTTCGATTTTGTATAACAAATCTACGTATAGTGACACCATCTACAAATACACAACACAAACAACATATCTTCTCGCTTTATAAAAAAAATATCAATTTCGCATATACCCAATGGTTAAAGAGATAAGATATTAGTCAAGTAAAGATTTAGGTAGTGAGGTCTACATTTTCACGTTAGCTTCACTAGGAAGTACGAAATAAGTGACTACTTTAAGGATTTTTTCGAAAATAATGATCCTTTATTAAAAATATTATTATTATTATTATTTTATTTTTTCTATTTCCCAAAGAACACATTAGAGATTTAATATTAAATTATACTTAATAAAACTACCCCTAAAAGGGTTCGATGCATCTCTATATAATACTCGTAAGAGCAATAGAGCACCACCCACTCAGTAGCCATGTCAAGAGCATCTTCCATAAAACAACACCACTCTCTCACTCAGTCTAAAAACGCCATAGCTACTAACGATTTACAAGAAGACGTATTCATAGAAGACGAAGATGAAGAGGAAGATACTGCTGGTGGTGGTGTGACCAGGCGCCTTTACTTGAAGCCCACACATGCCACCGGCACTCTCAGCAAACAGGTGGTCCTCCGCCGTATCCGCCACCGTAAGCGCATGAATATGGTGAGATCCACCGTCAACTCTCTTTTCGCTTCCATCTCTGCCGCCACTCCGACTCCTACCTCCACCTCCAGCAAGATCAAATGGATCGACGACCCTTTCACTGCCCCCTAGCTAGCTAGCTAAGCGTTAACGTACTTTCACGATGGTGTTTTGTTGAACGGATAACGTAGAAACGAAACCGACCAAGATTAAATTTTAAACCGGATATTGGTTTAAGAGAAACATATATTATAGTTTAATATCTCTATCTTCTTTTTCTGTTGTATAAGAAATTAAACTCATTGATTCTTCAAATAACGAACCTCTTTGATATGGGAAGTTTTTTTAGTGCTTACTTTACAAAAGTAGATGACAAAGAGATAACGACAATATTAATTTATCTTAAACATAATTTTTTGTTTTTATACTTAAATTATTTACCGTACAAATATTTGTCACATATAGTATTTAGGGGATATTCGACTAATTATGTGTTTTGGATAATTTCTATTGTTGAAAATATATTTTTCGAAATAAATGTTTGAAGAGATTGAATGTTATAAGTTTTATTGAAAGCTATTTTATGTAGTTTTTAATTTTGAAGCTTTTTGTTTAATCTAAAAGTTAAACGCTCGTATCGTCAAACGAATCTTTTTCTTTTTAACTAACGTTTTTTTTAAAACAAGAAGCTAGAAGTTCCTAAATACTGTGTGCCGAACAAGCCCGAAATAGAAACAAAAATAATTAGTTGTTCAAGTTCAATTTTTATAGTGACGATGCACACTTATTTAAATATAAATTCATAAAATATATTTCCTTAAATGGCTATTTTAATATTATGTTTTGTAGAATAAATATACGTTTTTTATATTGTTTCCCTTAATATTTTGGGTTAATTGTGCAATTATGAAACAAAGTCTCATATATATATATATATATATATATATATATATATATATATATATATATATATATATATATATATATATATATATATATATATATATATATATATATATATATATATATATATATATATATATATATATAAGCAAACAAGGTTGTTTTTTTAACGAACGATGCCGACCATTATTTATTCTGGAACAAACAGTACGAGAATATTAGTTTTTAAGCAACGAATGTTTTGGGGTCGACAACATCATACCGTCTTGTGATCACATGTCATCAACGTATCACGTATATATATATATATATATATATATATATATATATATATATATATATATATATATATATATATATATATATATATATATATATCATTTTTGTGCAATCGATTTGGATTATTCATTAACAAATATAACGAGTTAAACAAGTTACAGAAAAGAAAATATAAAACAAAATGAACTTATTTATGAATACGCATTTAACTATGATTTTTATATGTTAAAATTCTTCATTCTTTATGGCAATGGCCCCTTCAAAATTAAATATACATTACAAGTTTCTGTTCTATGCAAAGTGAATAGCCCTTCGGGTTTTTATTAGTTTGAAAAGGCATTATAGCTTTGTTTTTTAAAACATTTGCTTATAAATCGTTTTTTTAACGGTTAAAATAAGAAAAATGACTTTTGAAGGTAACTAACTGTTGTATTTGTTTTCGTTTGGTATTTTTCCTCTTTTTGTACTCAATATATCACTTGTTGTTTGTGTTAACATAACTCTTTTGACCGACTTTTGACCTATGATAATCGGTCAAAGGGTTATGCTGAACACAAACAACAAGTTCGATGGTATATTAAGCAGAAGAAGAAAAAAAATGACCAAATGAGAACAAACTCAACACTTGGTTACCTTCTTGAGTCATTTTTCATGAAAAGTTAAATAAAATTAAAGTTTCAAAATTATTAAGGACTGCAACCTTCTTTGGTGATAACGTATATGAAGAGCGTTTCGGAGGGGTAACTTTATTAAAACATGGTCTATACTATACTTATTGTGGCTAGCTGTCAACACCTCTTTGCAAAAAGATATTATTGCATATGACAGATATATTTATCAGCATAAACGTTTACCTCATTGTATATTATGATGATGTGTCTGCAAAAGTTGCATGATATTGTACATTTTGATGTTGTATCTTATCCCATTAATTCGATATTAAAGCTAAGTAAACTAAAAAATCACAACACTTGTGATTCCACTCGTTTGTAGACTTGTCTAGAATCCATGATACGATAAATCATTTAATTGAAAATGTAAATATAGTCATGAAATGCACCTGCTTATGTGAGATTCTCATAATAAATATTCAAGTGCATTACAAAGTTGTACATGTATAAATAATGTTTTTTCGTGGGTTATATTTTGAAGAGAAGAAAGAATTAATCTCTTAAAGTCATTAATATCAGCAGGAGATGACGTGAGATTTACTCTAAATGAGTAAAAGGGGAAATTAATCAGGATGGTAACCAACTGTTATATTTGTTGTTATTTGATCCTTTTTTTACTCAATATACAATCGAATTTGTTGTTTGTGTTCACCATAACTTTTTTAACCGGCTTTTAACCTGTAAAAGGCAGTCAAAAAAGTTATGGTAAACACAAACAAAAAATTTGATAATATATTGAATATAAAAAAAATGATCAAATAATACAAACAAACATAATAGTTACCTTAAAAGTCATTTTCCCGCCAAAATATATTAACAAAAGGAAAAAAAGCACCAAAGCTGGAAACCCCAAATGTATAAAGTAACAAAGATGAAACAAAAATAAATAAATAAAAATAAAAATAAAAATAATATCATTAGTATTACTTTTCTATTTCAAATGTTTTACGTCATCCAATTTCTAAAACATATAAATCATTTAATTTAGTCGCTATAATACTTAAAATATAATATAATAAATATATTCTAAATTTCTAAAACCATTAATTTTTATGGAATAAGTATCTGATTAAAAATTAAAACATTTACATTGATATAATATCATTAGGCTAAGCGGAGTGGCACTCGCCAAAGCCACCCGCTTAGTTCACCATTGACGTAGAACACCACCCCCTAGCTCTCGCTAGGGGGCACGCCAAAGCATAGTCGTCATCCTTATAGCGTGAAGAAAGGGAAAGAAGTGAAGGTTTTGATTGGATGAAATAGTTTGTTTGTGATTGCGATTTCTTTATGATATAATCAATTTTAAAAAACAAAAAAAATATAAAAATCAAAAGAAATCCATCAAGAAAAACTTCATCTTATTGAAGTCAGCGATTTCTTTATGATATAATCAATTTTCAACTTATGATTTCACTCCTATAACAATAAAAAAAAAAAAAAAAACTAAAAACCATAGAAATTTTACTGCTCAAACGCCCGCTAATCAACGAACCACCACAGTATATTAGTTCTCAATCTACTTCCCATGATTGATTTCACCTTATCTGTTTTTTCTTTTGTTGTTTGCGGCTGAGAGAATGGAAAAGAAAAAAGTGTTTTTTGCTTTTGCTTTACTTTTGGGAGCGAGAAGAAGAGAATATATATATATATATATATATATATTATATAATATATATTATATATATATATAATATAATATATATATATATTAGGGTAAAGTGAATATACCTAACAACCTTATATAAGCTTAGGTACCTAACACATGATACTACGTAATTTTTGTATCATATTTGCATTGTAATCACCCAAAGTTCTTAGAATTCAACCTCATAACTTGATTGCTTCCAAAATCTTTGGACTTTCACCATTATCTTCCTTCAAATGACGTTTTTCTATCGGAGACCCCCTGGTGGGCTTCATATACTACCGTTACAAATCAAATGGTGTAGGAAGAATATAATGGTGAATGTCTGAAAATCTTGGAAATAAATCAAGGTAAAGGTTGAAGTTTAAGAACCTTAGACGATTGCAATGGAAATATAATGCAAAACAATGTAGTATAATGTGGTTAGGTACCTAAGCTTATATAAGGTTGTTAGGTATATTCACTTTACCCATATATATATATATATATAATATATATATATATATATATATATATATATATATATATATATATATATATATAATATATAGTATATATATATATATTAAATTAATTTCATTGATGTCGTACTGTTTGTATGAGACTATTGGAAAAAAAAAAAAAGTCAAGAAATTGACTCATTTACATTGACTTTTTTGGGAAAACCAAAAAGTAACATGTTCTTACCCATTTCATTTTTATTTGTTTTTTTATTCTAATCGTCTTTTAATTCCAATTGTTTCACATTTTAATATTCAATTGTTATCTAGCTTTTGTTGAATATATCTTTTTAATTGTTAAATTTAAGATATGTCTAAATGTGCAGTCTTAAAACTGCAAATTATCAAAAAAAAACCAAAAATAAATCATTATTTATTGTCATATAGTGCAATTGGAATTAAAAATATCGATTCATAAACTGCAATATATTTTTTTTACTCGTATCTTTTGTC